GCAGCTGAAGGGGGTAGGCGGGGATTGCGTTTTCAAATTGAAAAACCACCAAGTGCTCCAAGGGGAATTGTCGGGGGGGTGGTGGTGGTGGTGTTGGTGGTGGTGGTGGTGGTGGGGCGGGTATGGGCACGTGTTTGTAATGTGCTGCTGATTGAATTGAAGCCGCATGAAAATTGCTATTTGCATTCACTATTGCATTTACTTTGCATATGAAAAGTGAGCAGAGATTGCGCATACGCCACGTGGCCCCATTGCAAAATGTAATTTTATGGGCACGCTAACGCTCAAGTGGCTAGCCGCAAGCAGCAGCAGCAGCAGGAGCAGCAGCAGGAGTAGCTTTGCTGGCCTGGCAACCAAGCTAGCTTATTTCGAACTCTAGCCAAAGCCCTCATCCTGCTTCTGCTCCTGCTCCTGCCACTGCTCCTGCCGTCAGCATTTACCCAGGCTTTTCACTCAAAATGCAGCAGCTACATGAAAGGCAATAAATCAAAAGAGGCACCAGCACTCTGTAGGCGCTCGGCTGAAGGGGGCAGCCCCAACGCCCAGCGAGCGTGTGTGAGCAACAACAATTTAATTTGCGCTGCGTTGAAAGCGTTTATATTGAGACAACATTAAACGACACTTAATTAATTTTCCATTAATTTTCGCATTTTGCTTTTTGCGCTCTGCGCTCTGCTCTCTGCATACGCATAAGTCTCTTTCGCTTTCAGCTCGACTCCCCCTGCGCTCACCACTCGCTCACTCAGGCCATGTGAGCACATATCGCGCATACGCCAGGGACGTCCTCATAAATTGGCTTGCCTTTGGCTTTTTTAATTAAATTCCCCTAGCTGCCGGCTAATGTAGCGCTTTTTCTCCTCCTGCTCCTGCTCCAGCTCCTGCTGCTGCTGCTCCTGCTGCTTGCTGCCACCATCTATCGTCAATGCAGCGGCAGAACAAAGCTTCTGCTGATTGACACCGGCAAGAGTGTTAAGTGAAATGGCATCAAAGGACGTCGAGTGCACTCAAGCACATATAGAGCTGCTCAATAAATGCTGATTGCAAATTGCAAATTGCTTTGATTAACTAATTCATTTACAATTCGCCAGCTGCACTGATAGCAGCACCAGATGAGACTCCTGCTCTCCTGCTCTCCGGCTCTCCGGCTCTCTGGATCTAGGCAATGTCTTGGCTGGCAGACCGCAGATTTCAGTTTCAGGCTGTTGCCAGAATATGACATGTTTTCTGCTCGACCTGAACACTTGCTGAATGCGTCTAATGAGCCTTGCGGCCTGTCAAAACTGTCGCATTTGATTACGACACGCAAATTTGTTGCGGCCAGCTGCTGTCGCAGTTGCTGTCGCTGTCGCTGTCGGTGTCGCTGTTGCCTTCATTTTGCCACAACGTAAATCATATTACATACGCATCCACACACACACACACACACACGCACACCTACACATATATGGGCTTTTGTGGCAACAAAAAATATTTTATTGGCTTTGCATTTGCATTTCATTTTCGCCTGTCTGTAATTTACGCTCGAATATGAAGCGTGTTTTCTTTCAGCTCCACGCTGGCCATATTTTATAATTATGTTAATATTTTGTTGTATTGTGCTTAATTTATGCGAACATGTTGCCAATGACAGCCGCCCCCGCCACGCCCAGCGCTAATTGTAATAAATTGCAATATTCCCATAATTACATCAGCGATACGAAGCAGACAATTAGAAGCAAAGCAAGCTCAATTGAAAAATAGCAAAGCGCACAGCAAAGCATATTTTCTCTGGCAAATATTTGGCCAAATCAAATATCAGGATACAGTGAGAGAGAGAGTGAGAGGGGGAGAGAGAGAATATACTTTAATATTGGCTCAGGCTTTGCTTTCGCAGTGCAACTGCAGCGCAGCAGGACATCTGCTCTCATTTGAGCCTTGAGCCACAAACTCTGTGCTCTATCGACGGCAATCGAAAAGGTATTCGATGTGGGCCACAGGGCGCCAGGAATGCAGCCAGTCATAGTTGCGTTTGCTCTTGCAAATATAAATGAAATTTGTTGACTGCTGTGCGACAAATTAGAAAAAGCAATATTGAATGATGATAATCAAATCAAATAGGAAGTTGGCAAATACCAAATTGAATTTAATTCCATCACAAATATGGCAGAGTGTGAGCTCAAGTTATTGTCGTCATCGGTTGCCGATAAGGCTACCGCACGCGTAAGCACAACAGCAACAGCAGCAGCAACAACAACAGCAACACACAAATCCCAGCCATTAGACAATGCTGAGCTGTTGCTTTCAACTGAAGCCCCAACAACAGCAACAGCTTTAGTCCCCTCTCGCCTGTCGCTCTTCCATCTCTTTCCTAATCCAGCCTGTTATTGCGCCATTTTCCATTCGTGCATCCTTTGTTTGCTTTACTTTGCTTTCAGCAGGGGCAGCAGGAGCAGGAGCAGGAGCAGGAGCAAGAGGCAACACTAACGAATTCAGTAGTCTGCCAATAAATATGTATGAGGGCGCTCGGCGGCGTACCGCTGCTGCAGCTGCTCGACTGAGTTGATATTTAATTGAAACATATTTAGAATTGTGAAGCTCATAATTGTGGTGCTTGGAAACGTGCAAGAGCTGCGAGCGATTGATAAATCAATCAAATATACAGTTGGTTTCAATTTGTTTCACTTTGATGCGCAACAAAAAGTGAAAGAGCTGAATTTGCATAGTCTAGTTGGACAGAGAGAGAGAGAGTGAGAGAGAGAGTGAGAGAGAGAGTGAGGGAGAGTGAGAGGGGGAACCGACTGAATCTAAGCGCTCTCTCTTGGTCTTTCTTTGAGCTCCCCCTTGTCCTCTTGCTCTTCGCCTCTACTCATTTCTAATGTACCTATGCATAATTTGATTATAAACCTCTCTTAATGGGCAGAGCCCATTCGAGCTCTGTTGAGCTGACCATTAATGTCAAGCGGCCGTTGAGTAAAAAGTCAAATTGCATTTGCAGTAGTATGTGTGCGTGTGTGTGTGTGTGTGCCTTTATTAAACATTTGCCTGCTTTTTAATTTGGCCATTTTGTTGCGGTGCGCGCGACAGCAGCAGAAGCGCTGGAACCCAAACGAACAGACAAGCGCAAATAGCGCAAAGTTTGCGCTCACTTAATTTACAAAGTCAGCCACACACACACACACACAAGGCCACTGCGGCTGTGGCACACACATACGCCCATTCAAACGGTCGAGTCAATCCTTTTTGCGCGAAATAAATCAAGCCGCACAAAAGTATGCTACATTTTTTTCTCACTCGCTCATCTCTTTTCTCGCTCGCCGGCAGTCGCTCAAAATTTTGATGTTGGTCGCAGAAAGAAATTAATTAAAATAAAAATGCATAAAAAAGGGACGTAAACCTGTTGTCCTTTGTGCTTGTTTATTTGTTTGCTTGTTGCTGTTGTTGTTGTTGTTGTTGTTGTTGTTGCTTTTGGCGAATTGTTCGACTGGCTGCGCTTTTTGGGTGCGCCGCAGCAGCGCCAAAGTGCAGCAGCACAAATGCATTTATGTATATGCATATTTAAATGCCTATCTCTCTCCCGCTCACTCTCACTCTCCCTCTCTCTCTCTCTCTGTCTGCTGTTTGTTGATTTTTTTCTTTATGTATGCCTTATTTTGGTTTTTATTTCGCTGTTTTCCATTCAAATGGAAATTAATTAATTTGCAGCTGCTTTACACACACAGGGAGAGTGTGAGAGAGAGAGAGGGGGAGTGGGAGTGGGGGTGGGAGTGGGCACCGCCAGCCCAACATGTGGTTACGTGTCCCTGGACATCAGCTAAGTGGCGCACGGCGTGCACGATGGTGGGCGTGGCAGCAAGAGGCGGGCCGCAGCTGTTTGCCTAGTCGCATTGATGTCAGGCAACCAAAAATCGTTTGCTGCTTTCTAATTGTTTGCACAGTCACAATTTAGTTGTTATTCTTGTTGTGCGTGTGCGTCAGCCTATATGTGTGTGTGTGTGTGTGTGTGCGTGTGTGTGTGACTCTTGTTTGTTTTTTGGTTTTTGTAATGAGCCGAATTACATGCTCGTAGCCTCAATCGAGCAGGGCCCAAACTATTGTTGTTGTTGTTGTTGTTGCCTCTGTGCTCATTTGCATTGAACACGCATTGATTTTTGGGGCCATTTTGTAAACAATTTGCCTCCGACCTCACCCCCCGCACGCATCTATCAAATATTTATTTACCATTTGCATTGTATATAATACGAATTGTGTGTATGTATGTATATATGTTTAATACATGAGTTATTCATTGAATCAATGCATGGCCAGGTCGGGCCAAGCCATCATCTATTGCCTTACTAATGCGCATTTGACACAGTTTCGATACTCGATTCGGTCTGATTAATGAATGCAATTTGTTAAGCAGCCAAAAGTCAATTGGGCCATGCAGGTAATGGCAGCTTCTATTTTATAGTATTTTATAGTATTTTCATAAATATTTTCATGTTGGCTTTCAGCTCGATCTGTGGCTAGTTCAGCCTCCTTTCGATATTTAAATTGAATTCCAGCCCACATTAAATCTTAAATCGTTCACTCGGCTGGTTCGCTCGATAGCTGTTGATAGTTAATAGATGGCTTATTAGATTTATGCTCAGTTGAGTTCAGTTGCGAGTATTCAATTACAAAAGCTTCCTAATTAACGATATGATGGAGGGCGCGCTCCCTCTGCTGCTGCTCTGCTCTGCTGCTGCTCTGCTCTGCTGCTGCTGCTGCTGTGCCACGCTTGGCCTCAGTTAATGAGATTGTGCGGCAAATGAGCTTACAAATGTGGCAAGTGCATCGACTGGCCACGCCCCCGCCAACAACGAGTCCCCATCCCCGCCCACTTCCACACAGTGTCCAGTCCAGCTGAAAGCTGACAGAGTCCTGGCAGCTAATGCAGCTAATTGAATTTAGATGCGATTTATGTTTCAAAATGCAATTCACTCGCTTTAATGGCAACACGCACACACACATGCATACATGCATGCATGCATAGACAAGCACACCCCCTGCCCAGACCCAGTCCAAGGCCAAGGTGAGGCTCAGGCCATCAGAGGTCGACTCCGGCTGCCTGTGGCATTGCCATTGTTGCTCCAGCTGTGGCTGTTGATTAAATTTTTAGAAACTGGAAGCAGGCGGCCAGAAAGTCCATTTCGTTTTCGGGCGCCACAATGGCCGCCGCCAATTGGCAGCTCCTCACGTAGATCACATAGCCAGCCAGCGTCCAGCCGAGCATCAGGCGGCTTTTGAAAATGTCTAGGCAGCTGCCAATGTCGGCATCATCCAGCAGATGGGTCCAGAGCACCGAGAGAGCGACCGTGCCCAGCAGCTGTACGAGAATCCACAGCATCACCTTGAACGACATCAGCTGCCACATATCTCGCCAGCGGATCTCGGGCAGCAGCCCATAGTGCTGCACCAGCAGATGGAGCACCGTCACGCTTGCCAAGACGCCCAATATGGCGATCGGCAAGGAGGTTCCGTTCATCTGCAGCTTATGCTCCATGAAGCACAGCACGAAGATGACCCAGGAGAGCACGGTCGAGCGCATGATTACCTTCTTGAACAGCATCTGCAAGGAGAGCAGAGAAAGTTTGAACGCATTAGAGATTGATTGGTTGATTGGTTGGTTGATTGAATGGTTGAGCTTTGCCTTTTAGACTTATCTGATAGAACTGCTTAAGAGTTTTGCAGCGCTGCTTTGATGAGCAGTGTTGCATAACGGTGCGAGGCATATCGATATGCCACGGCTGCAAGAGCGCATTAATCGCCCTTTAGCTCATTTATCGACTCTATGGATTTCCTTCGATAGCTAAACTTGTTATGCTAAATATTTATTACACTATTTAACTGGAATGGAGTTTGAGAATTATATTTTGGAATGTGCATAAACAAGGAATGGATGAGCATTCACAATGGCAAAAGCGCTTTTGACTCTTTTATCTCCTAGACAACTTAATGAGAACTTAAATTAAAGTAAATTTAATTTAATAATATTATTATTCAGTAGTTTGAGTCTTAGGCTATAGCTGCAGTAAAGTTGAAGAGGAAATTTGGTTTATTTCTAGATCTCGACTCGGTCGCACTGGCCTTGAGGGCATAAATAAATTTAGGATGTGCCTAACAAAGCGAAAGCTTACGAGATATTTGATACATACGGCATACCATATTCTGTATACGTTTAATAGATCCGAGTCAAGATGAGTGATTGCAACCCCTAAGACCTGTTAGATATACAGCTTCAATAGAGCCCAAGTTGAGTTAGGGAATTGCAACCAAATGGAATTTGGGTTTGCCTAATGAAGCCTCCATTTTGGACTCTTTCTTAGATGCTTAAGGGAGAATACATAAGCCGCAGGCCACAGTAGCAAGTGCCTAATTCTTAGGCTAGTCTTACTTTTGTATTAAATTTAATCTTTAATAAAAAATATATTATTTTTATTTCGACTGTCTCTCTCTTCCTCTATACATCTATGCCATTAAACAGACAGACAGATTACCTAATAAACAACGTTCAATCAGCTCAGTTGTCTACATTGATCAAATAATCTCTCTAATCACCATCTCTATAAGCTCTATGCTACACTCTGCCATGCATAATAACTTGTTCAGCATTTAACATTTGCATTTTCTATAATTTGAGACTTGATCACAATTTTACCATCAAAGTTTTGAGTGCGCTCTCGAGGCCAGATTGAAATCAATTAGGTAAAGAGAGCTAAGTAATACCCAGAACTCCATATTATTTAATGACTGTAGAGCAAACTCTCTCTCTCTCTCTCTCTCTCTCTCTCTCGCTCGCTCACTCTTCAAGCTGAAGAGCTCTAAATAGTGGAAATTATTGCCTAATGCCTTTTGGTTTGCCTTATTTGACTCGAGCTGTGCAAAATGCATCTCGATAATCTGCACAGCTCGAGTGTGAGTGGATGAGTAGAATAGAGAAGAGCGGGAAGAGAGCAGGTCTATCAATTTGTTTCATTTATATATTTATGCATATATATGCATATACTATATAAATAGCCGTTTGTTTTGAAATGTGCTTGTGTTTGTGCGCTGTAATTGGCGCTCGACTCGAGTTGCTAATAAAAATTGTTGGTGCTCGCAGTTCGCTCAGTTGGGGCCATCATGTTGATCCAATTGGCTTATAAAAACATAGACCTCTGTTGTTGTTGTTTTTTGTCTAATATGCATATATAGATCTTAATATTAATGTGTGTGTGTGTGTGTGTGTGTGTGTGTGTGTGTGATATGTTTATAATTAAATGCCGCGCGGCCATTGAAACTCACTGAACAGGCAAAAAGTAGTTTAGTCGCCAACGAGCCATTCAAAGCGCGCGCACACACACACACACACATACACATGCATAAGTGTGTATATGAAAGCTAAATATAGTTGGCCAATACATAAAGAGCAGCAGCAACGGCAACAGCAGCAGCAGCAGCAGGGAGATAAATAGATAAGCATAGAAAGAGACGGACGCACACATACATTAGGCCACAACTAACAAATGGGCTTGGGCCAGAGCTAGAGCCAGCGGCACACGGGCTGGGCTGGCTGACTAAACGTGGCTGTGGCTGTGGCTGTGGATGTGGATGTGGACCTCGTTCTCGTTCTGGCTCTGGTCCTTAAATGGCTACAAAATTGCAAAGTAGCAATGGTTGGTGGCGCGCGCGGCGAGCGGCGCTGCTCTGCCCACAATTGTGCAGCGGCCCAGTCTTAATTCAATTGTTTGTAACGTTGCCAAAGCATTTAGGGCTAAATGCCTGCTAACACAAAATGCCCATTAAAGGTGATGTATTGCATGTACATAGACATGTACGCTGCCAAAGAGCCAAACGGACAGACGCCCTACACATATATAAACATGTATGTGTGTGTGTGAAGGGAGAGAAAGCGATGCGGTCAGAGAGAAATGCGTGAGATTCAACTTTTTGGTCATATCGGATATGTGTTACAGCTAAAAGAGCTGTCACATTAGAGCAGTGTATAACAGTTATAACACTTTGGTGGCGACTGTTATAATCATGCATAAAATAGCGAAGCTGTATAACAGAATTGGGTCATATTCATGCCAGACAGAAGGAAATCGAAAGCGAAAGTTCGAGAACAGCAGAGAAAGATGTGAAGTTGTAGGAATAGGAGAAGTACCTAAAGAGCTAGGAAGAGAGAGAGAAACAGATATATATATATGTGTATAAGAAGGCAATGATAATAAGAATGAAACAAACAAGAGAAAGTAGAAACAGTGGGAAATAAAGTAAAGGAAAGGAGAAAGAGAAAAAAATCAGCTGAGTTGAGCAAAGAGAGAAGGAAAGAGCGAAAGAGAAAGTGACGAAGAGATGTTGTAGAGTCGATAAAAGAAAGAAAATGAGAAAGAGAAAGAAAGAGAGAAAGAGTGACTAAGAAGGAGAAAGAAGAATTGAGCGAAGGAGAGAGATAGAGGCACCGAGGGAAGGAGACAGAGAAAGAAAAATAGAAAGATAGATAAGGAGACAAAGATAGGCAGAGAGAGAAAGAGACAGAGCTATGGTGGGAGAGAGCGATGGCGAGAGAGAGCGAAGGAAAGAAAGAGAGAGAGAAGGAAATAGAAAGAGAGAAGGGGTGGGAGAGGAAGCAATATTGAAACACATAGAATGAAAGAAAATAGAAAAATCAGGAAATGGGGAAAGAACGAGAAGAACAGTGAGAAATATTTGCAGAAAGTATTAGAAGAATCTAGAGCTGGAGAAAAAGAAAACAAGCTTAGAAAAGCGAAAACTCACTCAACGAAAACTTGCCAACATACGAAGGTGATTATGTGAGTGGAGAAAATAGCATTAGATTTTCATCTGACTCCATTGAGAATGGCAAAGTCTTCAGCAAGTTTCGCTTATCTAAAATGTAACTCACGCTGCGGTGTTTTTTTGTGTTGTTGTGTTGTGTTTTTTATTCATACCACGTTGCGTATACGCATTATAGGCAAATGCCACTTAAAAGTGTAACTAAACGCCTGACCGACAACAACCCATGTCTAACCAAGCTTGAATAATGCTCACGCACACGCACACGCACACGCACAGGGGGAGTCAGAAGAGAGGGAGGCAGGGGGAGTGAGAGAAGATGACCAAAAAAAAAAAAAAGAAAATCAACTTAAAATAATATGTTTGCTTAGCCCATTTGACAGAAATGACTTTGTAGCACAAAAGTTTGAGCTTAGGCAAAGTAAAACAAACAAACAGCAAACAAATGGAAATGACACAGCATTTGGCCTTTTACCCGCATTGTTTTTAAATGTGTGTGGTTGTGCTAGAGCGTGTGTGTAGGTGTGTGTGTGTGTGTGTCGGTGTTGGCCTGAAACGTGGCAAAGGAGAAATTATTTTTACAATTTCAATGTCAACGCGCTGAGACCCAAAACACGCGCGAAGGCCGAGCGCCCAGATCTCTGGCTGGGGCCGCACAGCGGTCACTGTTTGTTGGCCACAGGCATTTGTGGGCGGCTGTGTAGCGGTAGGCGTGGCTCTAGCTCTAGCTCTGTAACTGTAGTCGAACTAAAAATACGTATACGCCATGGCTGTTTGAGCTGTGCGGCAAATAACTTAAATTACAACAAGCCCAGCAGCAGCAGCAGCAGCAGCAGCAGCAGCGGCGGCAGCATAGGCAAACAAATGCTGCCGTTGGTCACGCCCCGGCGCACTTAAAGCCCAACAGAATGTGTATATAAAATTCAAATTTAAATTTGAAAACAAAAACGAAAACGAAAATACCAAGAAAAAGCCTTGAACGGCAAACTGCGAATAGGAAGTTGCCACAAAATGAGTTGGCCGCGCACGCTTAAGCGCCAAGAGAGCTGAGCAGCAGCCGAGGTGAACGAGGGGGAAGGGCAGAAGGAGCAGGAGCAGGAGCAGGAGGAGCAGGAAGAGCAGGAGGTGGCAGCGGACTCCACGCGCTGCGAGGCTCGCGGCAATGCCGCATTAAAAAATCATTTTCAATAACGCGTTCGGCTGCAGCAATGCCACACACACACACACACACACACACACACACACACACACAGAAGTCGACTGTTTGCATGGAGGCGTGGCCCACAAACAAATTCGCTGCGCCAAAGCCAAAGCCAAAAAATGAAGAAGAAAGGCAAAGAGAAGAAAAAGAAAAAACGACCAAAGAAGCGAGCTGCAGGCATTGAAATGTGGGCGTGGCTCATGCAATTATTGGTAAAAGCGAACGCGAACGGAATTGTCGAGTCGACGCGAGCCTGATAACGGCAGAGGCGAGGCCAATTTAGAATTATTTATGCACTTAAGCCAAGGTTTCAATATTAATTAAAAGCGCGAGCTGAGCGAACGCAACGGGATCATCAATCAAGCCAAAGATGTTTGAGTTCGTCTGTCGAATACGAGCTGAGAATGCGTGAAAAGCGAGCGCACAATTTCACAATGTATTAATAGATATCGATTGAAGATACACACACACACACACATACACACACTCACAGAGAGACAGACAGCGCTCAAAAATATAATATCTAAGGATATACATACATATAGAAAAGTTTGACATCAAGGACGAGGCGCAATCTGTTGCCACGTTGTATTGTTGTTGCCGTGATGGCCGCCATTTTGTGTTCAATATGTGGCGACGCCATCTTGTTGGTAATGTTGTGTGTGTGTGTGTGTGTCAACTGTTGTTTGGCTGCGTTGCTTCAACTGCCATTGTTGCCGTTGGATTGAAACTTGTCTAATTGCATTGCTCAAGGATAAGCGCATGTACAGTTGACAACAGAAAAACACGCGTGCTTCTGTCTGTCTGTGTGCGTGTGTGTGTGTGTGGGACAATAGAGAAAATGTCAAGTTTAATTGTTTGTCTGTCATTAGCGCACACACACACACACACACACACAGACACACACAGCGAGAGAGACTCACATGGGAGCCTCGCATTTTGCTAATTTTATACAATTAAATTTGCTTTTCATTTTATCCCACAACCATGTGCCCATGTGTGTGTGTGTGTGCTTATGGAAACAAAAGAATCAAATTCTGTTACAATAAGTTGGCGCTGCGTGTGTATTTGTGGCAAGCTCTCTCGAGCGAAGCACTTAAACAGCCTCACGCTCGGTTGAATATGTTTTGATTAAGCCAAGTATAACGAACACATTTTAGCCAAGCCCGAACGGGCCAAGCCACTGCAAGACGGCGGGCCGCAGGGGCGGGCGCAGCGGTTTGCGAGGTGAGGCTGGGTGGGGGCTGCGGGGTTGCCAGGACACCCAAGAGCCCAGCCAGTGAGCCTACAGAGCCGCTCCTCCCGTGCGCTCCGCTGCCACAGTTTCACGTATTCGTGTGAAAGTGTTTCTTTCCCTGTATGTATGTGTGTGTGTGTGTGTGTGTGTGTGTGTGTTGGCTGGTTTGCGCATTCGGTTGGCACGTTTATATACTCCAACGACCAAGCAAATGACGGACTCAGAGTCACCCACAGGCAGCAGCAGCAGCAGCGGCAGCTTCGACCGACGCTGGTCAGGCTGAGGCCGCTGTGTGAATGACGTCGACGTCGACGTCGCCGTCGTCATCGCAGCTTTTGCTGTGGCTGCTGCCACTGCTGATGATGTGCGTTTTTCTTCTTCCCCCTTTTTTTTTACATTTTCCTTTAAATGCCAACCGAAGAGCGGGGCCTGGGCGGAGGGAAGGGATGGGGGTGGCAGCCGTATATCAAGTCGCACGCACGCACGCTATCGCAGCGGCCGTCCGAACACCGTGCGCACAGTGGGCAACCAATTTCACAGTTGGCCTGTTAGCCGCAATGGCACAGATTGTTCTGTCAGCTTAGGTTTGTATAACAGTTGGACACATATGTATGTGGACTGCATTAAAGAAAGTGAACATTAATTGATTGGGGAAAAGCAAGATAACAAGACGAGCCGATCAGAAGCGACGGCAGGTGTGTAGCTTAGCACCTGAGTGCTGGGCTGCGCCATGACAACTGTTATATGCATACGCATATAGGAAGCTTAACTTATCAAATTTTCGAATTGGAGCTAAATGAAATAGCAAAGAGATTTAAATAACAAACGAAACTTATTTAAAAAACTGTTATACAAAACTGTTATACGAAACTGTTATACAAAACTGCTATACGATACTTCTATACGGAAAAGTTATACAACACTGTTATATGAAACTGTTATATGAAACTGTTATATAAAACTGTTATACGAAACTGTTATACAAAACTGTTCAACTTCAGTCTTATGCGAAAATGTTACAAATATATTATAAGCTAGTTGACGAAAGTATTTAATTACCTTAAGGGAATGTTAGGTATTGCCTACAGCTAAACTATTTTACCAGTTGAAATATAATTTATTCAGTTGAATGTACCAATACTAGTACAATATAAGTTACTATACTAATAAACTGTTCTACATATGTTGAGCTAAAGAGATAAATATATAAATTATAATTTCTTCCATTATCTAGTACATTTAAGTGTTATAAAGCAAAATAAAACTGAGCACTCAACTGTTATACTGCTTTGAGTATCTTGTAATAGAGACAGCGCAAGCTCTATCTCTATAAGACTGCCTTTCATGCAGTCCCGCTTGCCATTGAGCAAAATGTGGAATATAAATATAAATGGTAGAAGAATGAAAGCTTAGGGTAAAATGGAATACATATTTTCGTCGAGATAAAGCACATGGCGATGCTGAACCAATACTAAGGACATGCTCGATTCAAGTGGTTGTCGCTGTGTCATTATGTGTATGATTATGTACTACACACACATATATATATTTATAAATATATATGTGAATGTATAGTCACACACACACACACACACGCGCGCCCAGTGTGGGGCCTTGTAAGGGTTTTTGTTTTATTTTCAGTGTGGTGGGGGCTTGGGTGCCTTTGGGGTTTCGGTTTTCAGTTTGACTTGACATGCATCAGCATCATTATTTTGTGCTTTTAATGTTTTATTTAGCCTGGTTGCCAACAGCTATACGGCAATACATTGTACACACACACACACACGGACACATGCACAGACACATGCACAGGGCTCGACAGAAGGCCTACTGGACGCCAAAAGCTGTGAAGCCGACGGAGGCGGGGCGGGGTCTACGATAGGGACTAACTGTCTGGCCGTATAGCTCAGCGTCAAGCGGTTCGTTTGCACTCGTTTTGTGTGTGTGAGTGTATGTGTGTGTATATGTATATATGTGTGTATCAGTGAATGTGTATCAGTGTGTAGGCATGTATGTGCATTTATGTGTATGTATATGTGTGTGTGTATGCGTATGTGTGTGTGTGTGTGTGCGTGAGTGTGTGTGTGTGTGAGTGTGTGTGTGTGTGTGTGTGCTATTTGCAGCAAAACACTCAAACAACATTTAAAAAGGCCTCATTTTCATGAGCTGTTGGGTGTTACATGCATGTGTGTGTGTGTTTGTGTGTGCGTGTGTGTGTGTGTGTGGCACTCGGCACATAATTGTTTGAAACAAATGTAGTGCACACACTCTCGAGCACACACACACACACTTACCACTTGCATACATAAGCATATGCACATGTGTGTTTAGCCACGATATTTTATAAGGCCATTCAGTCAGTTAGCCAGTCCGTCCGTCCATCCGTCAGTCATTTGGGCAGTCAATCAAACTGGGCGGCCAATTAAAGTTTTACTGCTCGTTGGCCAAACAAGAAAAGAATGGAATAGAGAAGAACGCATCAAACGCTCGGCTAAGCAATGCCGCAGCGCAGACAATGAAATTGTAGCCTATAAATATCTAATGATTTAACCGCTTATCCACTTTGAATTACCCCAGAGGATGGACACACGCAGACGCACACGCACACGCACACATTGAGTGGGCGGATGCGGATGCGGATATGGGTATAGATAGTAATAGACATATGGGCCATGGATACACGCGCACGCATCGAATGCCAACGTCTAATCAACATTAGCGGCGTTGCTTGGCTTGGCTTGGACTCACTGCCCCCCGCCCTCCCCATCGAGCCTCGAGTGGCAAGTGGGCGCATTATGTATACGCCGAGTGGCTGCTATTGTTGCAGCGGGCGGCTTCAGTAATGCATATATACAGCTGCCCACCCACAACCACTTGCTCCAATTTTGATTGAGTATGCGTACATGTGTGTGTGTGTGTGTGAGTGTGTGTGGGTGTGTGTGTGTGTGCAACAGTCAGGTGTCAAAATCGAAGCCAAGGCTTTTGGCTGCACTCAATTTACATGCGCCTTCAGTCGAAGGCACGCACACTCGAGCACAATCTGCTGCTGCTGCTGCTGCTGCTGCTGCTGCCACTTGGCACAACTCAAACCTGATGCTGATGATAATGTTTAGCTGTTGCTGCTGCTTCTCCCGCTTCTCCTGCTGTTGCCATGGCACATGCCTCAAACAGGAACAAATAAATATTTGGATTAGTTGACGCAGTTGAAATAAACGCTTGAGTGGAAAATGGCAATGGATATGGAAATCGAAGTGGAAGTGGAAATGGAAATGGGCCACTGGCTCAGCCAGACCAAAACTCTAGAAGCTTTTGCGCTTCACTGTAAATTATATTAGATGTACATGACGGTCACATATTGGCTAAAGCATTCAGAGCAAATGCTCAATTCAAGACAAAAACAAAGCCAATATACATACATGCATACATGCATAAATATGTATGTATATGTATGTATATGTATTTGTTTTGTTCAAGTTTTGCATTCAATAGCTTCAAATCGGACTCTGGCCCATTCTTGCTCTTTGCCATTAATTTCACTTACTACGAGCTTAAATAATGTCGCATGATTTTTGAACTCGTAACTCCCAAACTAAGCCACATTTAGACAACATTTTTGTGGTTAATTAAAGTGAATTAAAAATATTGCCAGACTGCATGCAAACCTGGCTCAGTTTCCTGCTAAATAAATGTTTTATTTGTTGCCAAAATAAAGAGCCTCTGCTGCATGTGTGCATGTATATGTACATACATACATGCATATGTGTGCTCTCATGTGCAAAACTCCCAATTCAGCTTTAGTTGTGATTTCAAATGTAGCACAAGACTAGGAATAATATGGACTTACATTGAAATTCCGGCTTGACTGTGCGGCCAAATTCAATTCTTTCAATGCTTTCAATTCCAATTGACTGACGTGAAAAGTTCTGTTTGCAATGCAATTCGAAATCTGCAATCACTCCACCGGCACTCGTCAGCCAAATGTGAAGTGAAATTCTGACAATGCCACAGGGCTCGCCTGACAGGAGTTTATCAAGCCAGTTGGCAGCGCTGTTTGCATATGCCAAATCAGMGTCTCTGCATATGTGTGTGTGTGTGCGTCTGTGTGTGTGTGCGTGCGTGGCAGTCCTGAAACAATCAAACAAATTGCAAATCACTTCAAGTTCTATTTGAGCCGAATTATGTTAAGCCAACAGTGTTAGCCATTCACAGAATTATGTTAAGCCAATAGTGTTAACATTTCTGAGAATTATTATGTTAAGTCAACAGTGTTAGTGATTCACAGAATTATGTTAAGCCAACAGAGCTGCAGCTGGCACTGCCTGCATGGATCTCGCAATTATGTTAAGTTAACAGTGCTGCAGCTAACATCGAGCATTGCTAAATTATGCCACTGCAGTGCTCCAGCTCAAGATCATCTCTGAGCTGAGATCATCTTAGAACTTAAGCTAACTGTAAATTCATTTAGCTGGCCTTGGGGCACTTAAAGAGTCTCAGCTTAAGGTGGGATGACAGAGCACAAGCTGAAAGTGTGACGTCACCGCGCAGCTGTTCTTTAACAGTGCTGTTAGTTAACATCAAAAGTGACTCTAAAGCTCTTTGCTTGCTCTGGAACTAGTGCTGCAAAAGAATCGATATTCCGTAATATCGATATTCACGATATTTTCAGAGAAAAAGATCGATAAAAACGATATATCGAACACTTCTTTTAAATGTTAATTTTCTTGCTTAGAATCTATTATAATATTTATATTAATTATGACTTCTTAATGGATAAAATGGCAACCATTTCAAGATTAAAATAAAAGCAACAGCATCAAACAAAAACAAATTTATTCAACCGAACAAAGTCGTATAACAAATTATTTTTCATTAACTTAAACCTAAAACAGCAATTCATTAAAGCTCAAATTCACTATGCTCCTTAAAATTATATTATAATAATAACAAAAACAATTGCCTCCATGGCAGTTTGAAAAAGAAAAGAAATTAAGACNACACCGCACAACCATCCTTTCCTTTTTCAAAATATTTCCACACTTCGGATTTTTTTGGGGCTCCCACGGTCTTATTTTCTTCATCGGAGTCCACCCTCGCCGCGCTTAAAACACACAAGCTATGACTCCAAGCTTTTCCAATAGGATATATCAATTGTACTTACGTTTTCTTCCCAAAAACTGATCCATTTTTTTCTTTCTATTGCAATTAAATTAAATCAATCAATTTGTATACAATTTAGCAAAATTAAATAAATACGCTTCTTACACAGTTAAAACCAACGCCAAGAATAACCATTTTTTTTTTCTTCGATATATCGATACTAAGAAACCCATATCGATCTTTTGCCAAAATTCGAAAATATCGATTATAACGATTCCGATCCGATATTTTTGTAGCACTATCTGGAACTCGCTTGATTGGGAGAAGCAGTAATGTAATTATCTATTATAGAGCTAAATTATGATATTATATTATATTAGAAATGTGTCCCTCTCTCTCTTTATCTCTCTTTATCTCTCTCTCTCTCTCTCTCTTTTTGCTTTTCCCAACTAACTTTGGTCATCTACCCTCTCTGCTTGCAGGCCTATCCGAACCGTGACATTACGAATATTGTGGAATCGTCGCACTACCAGAAGATCGGCGGCTGGTGTCGCCAGGGCTCTTTGAATGCGGCCAAGTGCAAGGGCGCCCATCGCTGGATCAAGCCGTTCCGCTGCCTGGGTAAGTCCGAATCGATTAAGCTCTGAGCGCCACGCGACCAATGTGAACCATTTGCTTTTCCATAACCAAAAACCACCAAATCGAAATCGAAATGAAAACCAAAACCAAAACCAAAACCGAAACGAAAACGAAAATGAAAATGAAAATGGATATGAAAATTGAAAACCAACCGACAATGCTGCGACAATCTCGTTTGGCTTCAGAAGGACCATTCCAATCGGACGCACTGCTGGTGCCCGAGGGCTGCCTCTTCGACCACATACACAACGCGTCGCGCTGCTGGCCCTTCGTACGATGGAACCAGACTGGAGCCGCCGCCTGCCAGGAGCGCGGCATGCAGATGCGCAGCTTTGCCATGCTCCTGCCCTGCGGCATTTCCCTCTTCTCGGGCGTCGAGTTCGTCTGCTGCCCCAAGCACTTCAAAAGTAAGTGGCGCTGCTGTACACAGCTGAGCCCACGCACACACGCACACCCACACACACACACCCACACACGCACACACACTCTCATGCTCATGCTGAACTTTCGATTTGCTTTCCAGCCGATGAGATACGCGTGAAGAAGACCGATATTCCCGTCATGCCGCCGGCACAGCTGAACAATGCCAACGTGGAGCTGAGCGTGAATGAGGAGGATGAGAGCAACGACTCGAACTACTCGAAGGACGCCAACGACGACGAGCTGGACGACGAGGACGATCTGATGGGCGATGACGAGGAGGACGAAATGGTCGCCGATGAGGCAGCCGCCGGCGGCGGCACCGGCTCCAACACCGGCTCTGGCTCTGGCTCTGGCACTGGCACTGGCACCGGCACAGCCAGCGATGCCAACAGCAGCGGCCTGGACGACATCAATGCCGAGTACGACAGCGGCGAGGACAGCGACATCTACGAGGAGGACGGCGCCGGCTCGGACAGCGATGTGGCCGGCATTGCCGACTCCTGGGACCCCAATGGCAGCTCCAGTGGCGCCAAGCCCTCGCTCAAGTCCCAGGCCCCCATCCCCCTGATGTCCTCCTCGCCCGCCAGCCTGACCGTCGCCGAGCAAGTGGGCAGCAAGCCGTCCATCTCGAAGCCGGAGCCGGTGACTGGTACGCCGCAATTGTCGGCAGCTGCCGCCGCTGCCGCCGCCGCTGCTGCCGCTGCGGCAGGAGTTGGCGCACCACCGTCGACCGCTCAGCCCACCTCCGATCCGTACTTCACGCACTTCGACCCGCACTACGAGCACCAGAGCTACAAAGTAAGTCAGAAAGTAAGTGTTTACGTTGAGGGCGCAGGTTTATTTATCAAACAAAAAACAAAACATATTCTAAACAAAGGAAGCCCAACAGCGCCTTGAGGAATCGCACCGCGAGAAGGTCACACGTGTCATGAAGGACTGGTCGGATCTCGAGGAGAAATACCAGGACATGCGCCTGGCCGATCCGAAGGCAGCGCAAAGCTTCAAACAGCGTATGACGGCACGTTTCCAGGTTTGTGCCCAACTGCCACCAGCCCGTTCATCTACCCCGCCCCCCACCACCCTTCCCCCTAACCACCAGCCACCAGCCACCAGCCCTATCCCTAGCCCAAGCCCAATGTGAGCCCCGTTGAGTCCCCAAACCAAGTCCAGCCTAACCTCTCATAGTTCCATTGTGTATTCTTTTTATGGCTATCTCTCTCTGTCTCTGTCTCTATATCTATCTCTGTCTCACGCACTAACTCACTCTATCTCTATTCGAAACCAACTTTGTACATATGTGTGTGAGAGTGTGCTTGTGTGTGTGTGCGTCTCATTGTGTTTGTCTTTGGGGAGAAGTGGCACAGTTGTTCAGTTGGCAACAGCCTGGCACCGCCTGGGCACCGCCTCCCCAGCCGCAGCTCTACACTTGTGCTATAAACAAAATCATTTCCATTATCATTCTAGTTAGTTTATAATTTGCCGCACCATAACAATGCACCTGCTTATGCACCCTATGTGTTCATTTCTATAATTTCCTGCTCGATTTTTCAGTTCTGTTTCATATATGCATATATGTATGTCTGTTTGTGTGTAGTCATGTAATTCCTACTCTCTCTCTGTGTGTGTATCCATGTATGGCAAATGGGAGCGAAAGAGGCATCAGATTGTAATCATACGAGTATAACAATAACAGTAACAATCGCATCAATGATGTGCAAGATAGATAACTCAAGCAACAGCTCAACACCGTCACAAAGTACAGCTCCGACTCGAGAGCTGCTCACACGTAGTTCAAACCGATTGGCTTTAAACGCGCTGAACTCGTGTAGTCCTTAGCTAACGACGCTCTTTTCATTTCATCTCAATTAGCGCTTAACTAACCAACCAGCTCAGCAAATAGCTCTACACAGACACGCACACGTACACACACAGTTACACCTACAGCTACACCTACTTGATCTGCCTCTCCCTCTTTTTGTGGGTGCATATCTGGCTTTAATCAAAATGCTGCTTTAAATCAATGCATACATAAAAGATATATCTAGCTATACATATATATATACATCTATCCAGCTATATATCCGTCATATGAATTGCCTTTATCTAGTCATGTAAACATGCCTCTACCTACATATACAGCAATCATATTAATCCACATACATACCTCAATTCAATAATCGCAAGCATTTCTCCAGCTCGCTCTGTCGTTCTCTATTTCTCTAACTCTCTCTCCGTCTCTGTACTTATGCTTAACTGGGCCTTAAATCTCTTACTCTGTTGCAAGCATAGAAATTCCATCATTTCACATTATTAAGGAATAAATTGATGAACATTAGTCTGTTAAAGTATTAATATTACTACATGCCTGGTATTTGGCATACGATGGTATTAAAAGTCTTTATACAAAGCAAACTTCTATAAAAGTCGTAAGGCGAGCCAATTATGACTGCAATAAAATTCAATTTGAAATTGAAATGCAATTGAAAAGAGAGCAGCTATAGAGCTATAGGAACTGCTAGAAACATTCACAGTGGGAAACTCTTTGTAAACTTTGGCTGTATATTTGGCATTCCATTTCGCATTCCAGCTCATTGGCAATTTCCACATATTTTCGTGGCACTCAGCGCACGAGCACAATCACGTCCCAACACTCACCCACCCACACACACACACACACCACACACACCCACACACACACACACAGTACTAACACAAGTTATAGCCATTGAAATAGTAGCGAAACGTAACTGTACTGTAATGAAGTGAAAGCGAAAGCGAATTTGCAATCGAAATTGATATCGATATTGCTATCGATCGAGCTATCGAAACTATCCAAAGTTT